TGGTAATATCCTCAGGCACTTCCAAATGGTCGTAAAATACCCTAGGCAGGCCAGGCAGGCTCTTCAACACCTCCCAAACAACAACTACTTGACTGGGTAAAGTCTCTTAACCAAAAACAGGATTGGCTTGTAGATTTTTGGAAAAGAGGCCAATACATTCTTCTATCTAGAGCTACCAGAAACAAGAAAACTAAGCTCTCAACAATGACAAGACCCCAGGAGCTCAGTGTGTGTGAGTGGTGGGAGTGGCCTTCAGGGATGAGACCAAGGTGTCATATCCGGGAGGAGCCGCAGTTCCTAATGCCTTCCCTGTGCGTCCACAGAGCCAGCGGGTGGAGAGTCAAAGTCTGGATAGCCACAGCAATGTCTTCCACGAGTGCTATGCCCACATCTGGTGGTGCCGCTGCTCCCCGTACATCCTTGCTCCCCACTCCACTCCCCACTCCTCTTTCTTTCCCTCCCCATCTTACCCCTGCCTTGCTCCAGCAACAAGAAAGGGAAGGTTCGGGGCTGGGGAGCCAGTGTGCTACCTTTTATGTCAAGGCTGAGGATGCTCTACCATACAATGCCCAGTTCCTAAAGCAAGCAGAGCCATTCGGCCCACTGGGGTCATAAGGAGGATTGGGCATATTAACTACCTATTAAATTTAAGTAATTTAGCAGCCATCTTCCAGGCTGGCAATGCAGACCAGAGGTCGCCAGGGAGGCTCTGACCACTTGTTTTAATTGTGGGAGACACCTTTCCCGCATATGCAATCTCTCTCTGTGATTTATCACTTCCCCACGTGTTTTTTTAACTGTTCTACTTCACTTCACCAGCTCTGCATCTCCAAGGGGAGCCCGCACAAATTGAAGATGACATTGAACTTTTATGTCTTCCTGATCCAAGAGAAGCTGCTGGCGCTTGAGGTAAATGCAAGGCTCCTCTTCTTCCTGTTCCTCCATCAGTGGAAACCACAGCTGGACCTTGACGGTTCAAGCCATTTACTAATGAAATAAGCTTTCTAAGCTCCACCACCCCCATGATTTCTCATCCATCAATTTCCTTGGAAATCCTGTGCTCCCTGGGAGACCATGGGCACGCAGATGATGACTCTGTTTGCTGGCACTCAGACCAGTGCAGGATTGGGAGACTGAAACCCCTCTCAAGAGATGAAAGCAAGACCCTGAATGTATATATTCCAGGACTGCATTTTCACCTCCAAGGTGTGGTGGCACAGTTATGCCACACCAAGCCACTGCTCCCATCATCAGTACTGTGGCTCTGAAAGCATGAAAGTCAGGCTCAAAGCACCATGTGTCCCCCAACCCCAGCCTGACTGCTAGATTCACTCCCCCCACTCGGAAGGCTCAGATGCCAGAACACGTGTCACTCCCTCTGGGAATGAAACAAATCCACGTTCCCCAGGGCGGCTTTTGATCGCTAGCACTGCTCTGACTCAGATGCAAATGCCAAACTAGTTGTACTGATCATCAATTGGGAAAAATGGAAATATATGAAGTTAAGATTAGCAAGAGGAGAAAAAAATATCCTTGCAAACCCAAGTCATATTTTACAAGGAACTAGTGAAGTTAATTATAGCTTTTCGAAAGTTTTTACTTCTAGCCATGTAGCAATTAATATAACGAATGAATATGCTGAGCACAAGCTGTGTACCTAGATGTGGCAGTGTGGCCCATAACACCGTCCTTTGCCCTTTGCCGCGGAACCACAAGCAGATTTTCCCTTTTCGGAGTTTTAAGCCCTTGCTGAGCTCTGACTGTGCGCTGAGTGTTTCACGCACACTCCCTCGTTTATTCCTCACAACAGCCCTCAGGGCAGAGACTGTTTTTATTCACCTTTTGCAGATGAGGACACTGTGCCTCAAGAGAGTAAGAATTGTAGAGAAAGCAAGTGGCCGAGAAGTGGGAACCTCAGTTAATCAGAGTGGATGGCCACTCAGCATTCCTGAGGGAATGCAGTAACCCCTTGTAACCTAAGAGCAAACCCCTTGAATTAGCGTCATGTTACACGGCCCCCCAGGGTATTGCTGAAACCACACAGCATACTCTGAGACCTCTCAGTGAGGCAGATGAGTGCTGAAGGTGAGGACAGAGACAATGGCCAGGCAAGATGGCTCATGTCTGTAATCCCAGCATTTTGGGAGGCCGTGGCGGGAAGACCACTTGAGCTCAGGAGTTCAAGATCAGCCTGGACAACATGGGGAAACCCATATTTACAAAAATAAAAATAATCAGTCAAGCATGGTGGCACGTGCCTGTAGTCTCAGCTACTTGGGAGGCTAAGTTGGGAGGTTCGCATGAGCCCAGAAGGCCGAGGCTGTCACCAACCTGGGTGACAGACTGAGACCCTGTCTCAAAAAAACAAAACAAAACAAAAAACCATATTAATAACAAAACAGGCCAGGCACAGTAGCTCACTTTGGTAATCCCAGCACTCTGGGAGGCAGAGGCGGGAGGATCAGTTGAGCTCAGGAGTTCGAGACCAGCCTGGGCAACATGGCAAAATCCTATCTCTACACAAAATACAAAAATCAGTTGAGTATGGTGGCTGGTGCCTGTAGTCCCAGCTACTTGGGAGGCTGAGGCAGGAGGATCACTTGAGCCTGGGAAGTGGAGGTTGCAGAGAGCTGAGATCACACCAGCCTGGGTGACAGAGAGAGACACTGTCCCAAAACAAAACAAAACAAAACTAACACCAATGCAGGCTGGTTTGAACCCAGATCAGTGAGCTTTTGGGACACTGGAAATTGTTCCATTCACTACCAGCCTTTGCATCTCTCATCCCCAGGCGTTCTAGATGGAGTTCTGCCCTTGATATCTAGATATCTGCACATCCAAGCCGAAAGCAGCACCTCTCTTCAGCTAGGCTTGTGTCAGCCAGACTACAGCACGCACCACCCCAGAGCCACCCTGGTGCCGGCATGTGGCTGGTCATCAGTCCCAGTCACTGACCACAGGGACTGCCAAACTCTAGAAAATGGAATGTGCAGTGAACTTCATGTGCAGCAGAATTTAATCGTTGAGCGTTAATCTAGCGATGCTGAGAGAACACCTGTCATTTAAATATCAAGTCCATGCCTTTACTAACCCTTGATTAACTAGTATCTGATTAACTGCCTGGCAGCCTGCTTTAAAAACAAGTTCACCTCAAGACATTGAAATGAGTGAATGAATAAATGCATCCATGTATGTCCTCAGAGCAGTGCAAATTTAACTAAAAATAAAACTTCTTTTGTCTGTAGTAAAAGCTCAGTGAGAAATGACAGTCAAAATCAAGAGCTGAAGAATTTAAGCATTCTGCAACATTATAGAAAGAAGCAAGAGGAAATCACACTGGGGTTGAGCAGCATCTGCCCATGGAGGGAACACCTGGCAGAACTGGCTGGAATACAGTGGGGTTTTCTGCTTGCCCCCGTGGTTCACGAAGTTCAGTAAACCCAGGTGGGTCCACCTGGCTGCTCTGCGTGCAGTGAGCTGGCCTGCCTGTGACAATGCTGGCCATAACTGCCCTGCTTGAAGCACGCACTGCTCTGTGTCAGGGTATCAATGCCAATGTAGGTATGAAAGCTGAAGAAACAGGAGCCTGGTAAATAGAAAGTGTCACATATGAAACAGGGTTCATGCCGTGGATT